CTGCTGCCCTGCACTGTGCCCGGGGGCCTGGAGATTGTGGTGTTGAGGTTGGCCTGCTGCCCTGCACTGTGCCCGGGGGCCTGGAGATTGTGGTGCAGAGGCTGGCAGCCCTGTACTGTGCCCACTGGTCCAACAACCTCAGCCAGCAGGGGCGCTGTCACCGCCAGTCAGGCATCCGAGACTCCGAGAGCGAGACAGCTGGAGCAGAGGAAACTGGGAGGGAGACGGGAAACAGCTGGGGGTGAGGAGGTTGTGGGAATTCGTCTGTTTTTCTCCGCACGTGACGGCAGAGTTCCTCGCATTCCTGGGCAGGGAGCACACCGCGGTGTTGGGGGGGGGCAGCGAGGCCGGACAGCCCAAACCACAGTCCAGATGGGCCCAGGTTCAGTGTCCCATGTGACTGTGTGTTGCAGCCTATGTAGATCTAGACCCTTCCCATCACGCTCCAGCTGTTCCTGATCAACCCCAGTCCCCGGGGCGCCTGAGGCAGAGACCCTGCAAAGCACTGTGGACGATGACCGAATTCTCCGAAGGGGGTGTTGGGCCTGTGTGAGTGTGTGTGGCCGGCCGTACCGTGACAGAGCGCAGCACTGACCTCCCTCTCTCTCTCTCTCCCTCTCTCTCTCTCTCCCTCTCTCTCTCTCTCTCTCCCTCTCTCTCTCCAGTTTCAGCGAGAGCTTCCTGACGGTGAAAGGCGCCGCCCTCTTCCTGCCGAGAGGAAATGGCTCCCCAGCGTCCTCCACCCCCCGGGCCAGCCAGCGGCGCAACAAGCACGCAGGTAGGGGCACACGCATGCCACACGCCAAGGCCACGCTTCCCAGTCCGCCTTGCACTGGTGCGGTCCGCAGACCCGCGGAGCTCGGCGACATGAATGAGTGAAGCACGGGTCCGCTTGACATCGCACTGGTGTCACTGCATTGGACTGGGCTGGATTACTCTACAGTACACTGGAAACATCCCAGGGGTCTCTGCGGCGGCGCTGGTGTTGAGGCCAGAGCGGGGAAGGTTCGTGTCCTGGATGCTGGCTGAGGGTCAGTGTCCAGTTGTCTCCTGTTCCCTGGTTCTGGTGTCGGCTCGGGGTCCCCGTCTGCTCCCGGCTCCGATCGTTCACCTGAAGAACTGGAACACAACTGGGCTCGGTTCTGAATTGGCGTCTCGCTGAGCATCGAAAAAGCCAGGAGACGCTGGAGGCTCCAGGGAGTCTGACCCGGGACTCAGTGGGGTCGCGAGGTCAGGAGGCGCCCGGCCGTGTCGGCGCTGACCCAGCGGGAGGCCCCTGCGCCCCTCCGGGCACCGCGGGGCTCACAGTGTGGTAAACAGCAGCTGGCCAAGACGCAGCGCGCAGCAGCAGAGGGAGGGTGCCCTGGCCTCCACCCCCCTCCGGGCTGTGTAAACAGGAGCGGTTCAGGGACCAGCCTCCAGCGAGGGGGGTTGTTTTGCTCGTAAAGGGCGCGGCTCTGAGGCTCGGCCTGCGTTTGTACACAGATGGCAAACCCAGGGCCTATCCTTCCGTGCAGGCTAGGAAACCACCACCACCTGCTGCCTGTCAGGGAGAGGGGAGGGGAGAGGCGTTCCTGCTGAAGGAAACGCAGAATTACCAGAAACCACACGCGCGCAAGACGCACATCGGCTCACGGGAGCAGTCCTGGGGTCTGCAGGGGTGTCTGGGAAAGCAGGCGGGCGAGGGTGTGAGCCTGGCGCCGGTTGCCAAGAGGATGCTGTGGAGGCTGACTGACGTAGCTGGAAGGAACCGCGGCGGGTGGTGGCTGCCCTGCTCCGACGGCCGCCCTGTGAAACCTGCGAGGAGGCAGGCGCCGCGCACCGCCCTCACCGCAGCTGGGCTGGGTCCTGGCTGCCTCGGGCGGAATTCGTCTTCAGCGACAACGAGGGCGCCGTGTGTGACGGAGCTCCGCTGGGCCGGGCCCTGCGCCCTGACCCAGATTTGAGCCGTCACCTCCTGTCCCACAGCATCCCCAACACACCTGCAGTAAAACCGGAAAATAACTCCCAGGCACGTGCTTCCCAGCACTGTCACCAGACAGACTGGACGGACTGGTTCCCCCTGATTTGTTTTTCCGAAAGTCAAACACTGAAGCTCACGGACTTGCACGTTCCCGCGTGTTTGAGTTTCTGCTGCGGAGAGCACGTCCTGTGTTTGTGTTGAGTGTTTGCGTTGACCCAGCAGCCATGTCGCTCTGCCACTCAGCGGGTGTGAGCCTGGGCAGTACCTGGATGGGAGACCTCCTGGGAAAAACTGAGGTTGCTGCTGGAAGAGGTGTTAGTGGGGCCAGCAGGGGGTGCTCATCCTGCAGTTTGTGTGGGTCCTAATGCCCCAGTATAGCGACAGGGGACACTTTACTGTAAACAGGCGCCGTCCTTTGGATGAGATGTCAAACTGAGGTCCTGACTCTTTGTGGTCATTAAAAATCCCAGGGTGTTTCTTGAAAAGAGTAGGGGTGTTACCCTGGTGTCCTGGCCAAATTTCCCATTGGCCCTTACCAATCATGGCCTCCCAATAATCCCCATCTCTGAACTGGCTTCATCACTCTGCTCTCCTCCCCACTGATAGCTGGTGTGTGGGGAGAGGACTGGTGCATCATCCAGGTGGGGCTGCACACTGGTGGTGGTGGAGGGGATCCCCATTACCTGTAAAGCACTTTGAGTGGAGAGCCCAGCAAAGCGCTCTATAAGTGTAAGCAAGCCTCTCGAACCCGAGTGTCCCTCTCTCTCCCCCCCACAGGTGACCTCCAGCAGCACCTGCAGACCATGTTCACCCTGCTGAGACCGGAGGACAACATCAGACTGGTGAGGCCCTGTACCCGTCTCTGTCTGTCCGCCCCCCCCTCTAGTCTCCCGCCGTTCTAACCTGCTCTCTCCCCTCCCCCCCCGGATTGCAGGCAGTGCGCTTGGAGAGCGCCTACCCCCAGTGCACGAGGTACATGGTGGTCGTGTCCACGAACGGCCGACAGGACACGGAGGAGAGCATCGTGCTAGGGATGGACTTCAGCTCTCGGGACAGGTCAGTGCGGTGCTGGTGCTCTCCAGGGTCCTCGCCGCCGATCGGCCAGGTGTGAGGAGGCCGGTCGGTCTCCCGCGATGGGTGCACCATGATGGTTTTGTCCCACCTGTCCAGCATGCAGCTCCAGGGATCGTGCAGAGCTCTCCCTGCCCAGTGCTGCCGATCGCCCTCTGATTTCAGACCGGGAGTCTGGCAGTCCAGGGCGCTGCTCGGGATGAGGTCTCCCGTCAGTCCTGTAAGGCGTCGGCAGTGATGATCGGGGTGACTGATGGCTCGGCGTGTGTTTGTCTCCCCACAGCAGCACCTGCACCGTCGGCCTGGTCCTGCCGCTGTGGAGCGACACCCTCATCCACCTGGACGGAGATGGGTAGGAACCCAGGGGCCCTGCGGACTGGGGGACTGGGAGTGCAGGCCATGGGACTGTTACTGGGAGTGGGGGACTGGGGACTGGGAGTAGGGGCTGGGAGTAGGGGCTGGGGGACTGGAGGGCTGGGACTGGGAATGCGAGCTGGGTGCTGGGGGACTGGAGGGCTGGGACTGGGAATGCAAGCTGGGTGCTGGGGGACTGGAGGGCTGGGACTGGGAATGCGAGCTGGGGGCCGGGGGACTGGGAGTGGGGGCTGGGAGAGCGGGGAGGCGTGCGTCTGTGGGAGCTGCAGTGTGACCCCCGTCGTTCTCTTCCTCAGGGGCTTCAGCGTGTCCACGGTGAACAGGGTCCATGTGTTCAAGCCGGTGTCGGTGCAGGCCATGTGGTGAGTGTGGTCGCCGGTGCTCTGGCCAGCTGGGGTGTCTCACACGGCTGTCAGGCAGGCCAGCTGTGTGCTAATCTAGCGTCTCGGTCCCCATCTCTGTCTCTGTTCAACCCCTGTAGCTCTCCCCCTCTCAGCCCCTCTCTGGCTCGTCCAAGACTTCCAACAAAGTCCTGCAGCTGGATTGAAGGAACTAGATCTCTTTATTGTTTTGATCAGAGACCGCAGATGGCCTGCGTGTGTGAGAATAGGGAGACACGCCCCTGAAGACCCGTGCTGGGGGTCTGGAGCACGCTGTCGCCCTGCCCCTGGTGATGGTCCTCTTCTCCCCCTCAGGTCGGCTCTGCAGTCGCTGCACAAGGCGTGCGAGGTGGCGCGGTGCCACAATTACTACCCCGGCAGCCTGTTCCTCACCTGGGTCAGCTACTACCAGAGCCGCATCTCCTCTGACCAGATGTGCGTCAACGAGTGGAACGCCATGAGGGACGTGCAGTCGCACCGCGCCGACTCGCCCGTGCTGTTCACTGACGTGTGAGTACAGAGCCGCGGCAGGAGGCAGAGACAGAGGAGAGGCCGAGGCAGGCGGACGGGCAGCCGGGGCAGAGATTAGAGTGCGAGGCAGGCAGCCAGGGCAGAGATTAGAGGCCGAGGCAGGCGGACGGGCAGCCGGGGCAGAGATTAGAGGGCGAGGCAGGCAGCCGGGGCAGAGATTAGAGGGTGAGGCAGGCAGCCAGGGCAGAGATTAGAGGGCGAGGCAGGCGGACGGGCAGCCAGGGCAGAGATTAGAGGGCGAGGCAGGCGGACGGGCAGCCAGGGCAGAGATTAGAGGCCGAGGCAGGCGGACGGGCAGCCAGGGCAGAGATTAGAGGGCGAGGCAGGCGGACGGGCAGCCAGGGCAGAGATTAGCGGCCGAGGCAGGCAGCCAGAGCAGAGATTAGAGGGCGAGGCAGGCGAACGGGCAGCCAGGGCAGAGATTAGAGGGCGAGGCAGGCGAACGCGCAGCCAGGGCAGAGATTAGAGGGCGAGGCAGGTGGACGGGCAGCCAGGGCAGAGATTAGAGGTCGAGGCAGGCGAACGGGCAGCCAGGGCAGAGATTAGAGGGCGAAGGAAGGCGGACGGGCAGCCAGGGCAGAGATTAGAGGGCGAAGGAAGGCGGACGGGCAGCCAGGGCAGAGATTAGAGGGCGAAGGAAGGCGGACGGGCAGCCAGGGCAGAGATTAGAGGGCGAAGGAAGGCGGACGGGCAGCGAGAGGAAAGAATTTAGAGGCTGAGAAGCAGGTGGACGGGCAGAGATTACAGGCGGATGGGCGAACTGAGTGACCTCTGGGGAAACCCTGAAACGCCCCAGGTGCCCCGATACCCCCCCCCAATTGTGGTGCATTCCTAGACGGAGCTGCAGGTGCCTCTAGGAGAGGCAGAGCGGGTGCCAGCTCTGGAGGGGTTAGGCGAGGGAGAGCATCCAGGCAGCTATTTTTACAGCAGCCGATAAGCGCTCTCGCAGCTCAGCCCCCCTCGCGGCACCTTAAAAGGCAGAGATCTGCTGCTGCCTTCTGGGGGAGAGGTGTAGAGTGCAGTCACCACCGACAGCACCGCGAGGGGCTGGGGTTCAGCTGCGACTTTCAGGAAAGCTTTCTACCTCCCAAGAAAACTCCCAGCGCTCTCCCGTAACGAGAGAGGAGAGGGAGGAAAAGGAGCCCAGGTGGAGGAGAGGCAGGACTGCTGACATTGTGTTCATCTCTTTGTGAACTGTTGAAAAGCAGTCATGAATGCCTTGGCAGAGCTCAAACCTGGATGTCCGTTTACCCATGGAGTGGCTCAGCTCTGTAGTGGAGCCCCACACTGCCCCCTGCTGTCCACCCGGTGGCAGTGCTGCTCACTTCGTTCTGGTTCAGCAAGACTGACGCTCTCCCCCAGCTCTCCTCTCGGTTCCAGCCCATGTTGGCCAGGCCATTTACAGCAGGGATAGGAAGCTCATGTTTCTGGCTTACATCTCTGACCCCAGTGACTTCGTCAGTGCAGTTAAGGGTGAGATAAGCTAAATCAGAAGCGTTGTTCAGATCTTGTCTGCCCCTAGTCCCGAACGTTGCCAACACAGCTACTTTGAGGAAGCAGCAGGAGGAAATAAAGATCGCTCCCTCTTTCCCTTGGAGTGCCTTATCCGGCCGGCCTGCCCCCTCCCCCGAGTCAGGAGAGAGCTGGGTGCAGTTACAGGAGGCTCCTGGCTGCCTGTAATCTCCTAGATTAACTGCAGCTCCATTAAAGCCCCTCTGAGATAAGGGCTATAAACAGCACAGGGTTTCCATTCACCGGGGCTGTTAAGTGCTCTTAAAAGAGCACAGACTCCCCGAAAACGAGCCATGCGTACAGAAGGGGCTCACTCCTCGGGGTGGCTGTGCATGGCTGCGTTTCGGGAAGTGAGGAATGTGGGAAGGGACAGCGACTCGTACGGACCGGAGAGACGGGGACTGGGACTGGCGCTGTAGGGCCACAGGCAGGGGCCGCTCAGCAAGTTAGTCGGCCTGTTCAAATAGCCTTGCGAGATGCCTGGATCTCTGTCCTGCCCCAGGGCACCCTGCTTGTGTGTGATGAATGACACTGATCCAGCCATGAACAGCACACGGCTTTCATGCCGGTTGCTGAAATGGGTGGAGTTTAACAGCTCTGCTGGCTCTCCAGCCGATACTGTATCGGGACCAGCTTGATCCCTCTACCTGACAGAAGGTCACTGTTGCCAAGCGGTTCCTCTGTCTGTGAAGACTCCCCTCCTCGAGGAGGAAACCGCTGGGGGGGTTGGCTGACGTGTGTCCCCGCGTGTGTCCCCGCAGCCCCACGGAGAGGGAGCGCACGGAGCGGCTGATCAAGACCCGGCTGCGCGAGATCATGATGCAGAAGGACCTGGAGAACGTCACTTCCAAAGAGGTCAGCGTGCTCCTCTCCTCCCTCTGTCCGCCCTGTGGTCAGGCCCCTTGGCCCTTACCTGTCCGGCGCTCTGCTCCGCCCCCTTGCAGATCCGCACCGAGCTGGAGATGCAGATGGTCTGCAACCTGCGGGAGTTCAAGGAGTTCATCGACAACGAGATGATCGTCATCCTGGGCCAGATGGACAGCCCCACCGAGATCTTCGACCACGTCTTCCTGGTCAGTCTGTTAGGCCTCTCCCTCTTCCCTTGTCCGTCCTGGGAGGTCTGGGCTGGGGCCGTGGGCTTGTGTTCTGGGCGGCGCAATGCAGGAGCAGCTCACGAGCGCTGTTTGCTGTTGTCTGTGTGTGCAGGGCTCCGAGTGGAACGCGTCCAACCTGGAGGAGCTGCAGAACAGTGGGTAAGTCTGCCCTCCCTGCGGGCAGTGTGTGCGGGGCTCTGGTCGGAGAAGGTTAGGGTTAGGCTGCTGCTCTTCCACGTCTCAATTCGTGCAGCGCATCAAGAGCTGGGAGAAGGTAGTCCATCGGTCCAGTTGAGCCAAGGACGAGAGCTTTCGTTCTTAAAGAGCTTAGCTAGGACCCAGCCAAGCTGGACCATCCTGTTTTTAAGACCTGAGAGGTGGTTGGGGAGTCTCTCGAGGTTCCTGGAGCAATAAGAAACGCAGACTCTAAGCTTGGAGCCTGAAATTGGTCGGGCTAGGATCTTGGCTGCAAGTTTTTACCCTCAGCTCTCTCTCCAAGGGTGCGCTACATCCTGAATGTGACGCGCGAGATTGACAACTTCTTCCCAGGGATGTTTGAGTACCACAACATCCGCGTGTACGACGAGGAGGCCACCGACCTGCTGGCCTACTGGAACGACACGTACAAATTCATCTCCAAAGCCAAGTGAGTCTGTCCTGCCTGTGTGTCTGTGTGTCTCTGCGGAGTGGTGGCTCTGTGGCTCAGGATCTGCGCCTGGGGCTGGAAGGTTGCCGGTTCGTATCCCGCGGCCGGCAGAGGAATCCTACTGCGTTGGGCCCCTGAGCGAGGCCCTTCACCCCAACTGCTCCAGGGGTGCCGTATAAATGGGTGACCCTGCGCTCTGACCCCCAGCTTCTCTCCCTGTCTGTGTGTCTCATGGAGAGCAAGCTGGGGAATGCGAAAGGACAAATTCCTAATGCAATTGTATATATGGGCAATAAAGTGATCTTCTGTCTGTGTGACTCTGCGTCTCTGTGTCTGTGTGTGCGGTCATGTCACGGTGCCATGTCCTCGTTCTGCTGGGTGGGTGTCGCCCCTGCCGCCCCTCACTCTCCTGCGCCCCTCTCTCAGGAAGGCGGGGGCCAAGTGCCTGGTGCACTGCAAGATGGGGGTGAGCCGCTCGGCCTCCACGGTCATCGCCTACGCCATGAAGGAGTACGGCTGGGACCTGGAGAGAGCCTTCGACTACGTGAAGGAGCGCCGCGCCGTCACCAAGCCCAACCCCTCCTTCATGCGCCAGCTGGAGGAGTACCAGGGCATCCTGCTCGCCAGGTACCCGCCTCTCGCGCCAGCTCTGCGGTTCTCGGCCCGGCTTCCTGCCGGCCGCCCAGGTCTCCGGTGTCTCACGGCCCTCTCCTCCTCCTCCTCCTCCTCCTCTCCCCAGCAAGCAGAGGCACAACAAGCTGTGGCGATCGCACTCGGACAGCGACCTCTCGGAGCACCACGAGCCCCTGTGCAAGCCGCAGCTCAGCCTGGGTCCCAGGGACACCCGCAGGAGCAGCAGCAGCAGCAACAACAACAACAGCACCCCGCAGTCGCTGGAGCACTTCCTGGGCATGGCGGTGCTGCAGGCCCTCACTGGCTCCCCCGCTGAGACCGAGGCTGAGGCTGGCAGAGACGAGCTCTCCCCCTCTGGCGAGGCGCCCGCCACTGCCTACCAAGACCAGCCCACCTCCAACGGCCTGTGTGATCTCTCTCCGGCTGAGGACCTGCCTTCGCCCCTCCTGGACCCCCCTCTGTTACCCCTCCTGGTAGGATCATGGGCGTCCGCGCTAGTGCCCGAGCGGGCAACAGACAGCGCACCTGCAGGAGACCACGGCTCGGGTCCTGACCTGCAGCCGGCCGCCTCTGAACTGCCCAAAGCAAGCGTGGGGAACCCGTGTTCGACCAGCCCTGTGCCTCAGCGGAAACCGGGCGCCCCTCAGCTCTCCATCCCCATGCCTCATCTGATGATGGCCAGGTCAGAGGTCGCCCCCGCTCTGCCCGAGCACAAAGCGGAAAGCCCCGTGCTGTCCGCGTCGGTGCCTGTGCCGAGGCCGGCCACTGTGGAAGGGATGGGGGTTGGGGATGTGGGGCCGGGCTATCCCATGTCCCCCGGGACCCCCATGGCCGTCAGCCCCCTCAGCCCACCGGGGGCCGCCGTGCCGGGCGCGCCCAGCGCGGAAGACGACATCAACAACAACGACACCGGCGGGGACACGGGCAGCGCGGGGTCCTCCAGCCTCAGCACGGACAGCATCGACTTCTTCAGCGCCCGAGAGAAGTTCCTGGAGCTGTCCCAGGACGGCCGCGCCCGTACCCTCTCTAACTCGCGCCCCGAGGAGCAGGCAGCCGGCCGGACGCCCTACCCCAAGGGCCCTGGTCAGGAGCTGCCGCTGTCTGAGGACCCCAGTGCCACGCCTTCTGCAGAGGAGCCGCCCAAGGTATAATAATAATAATAATAATTCCTTACACTTATATAGCGCTTTTCTGGACACTCCACTCAAAGCGCTTTACAGGTAATGGGGATCCCCTCCACCCCCACCAGTGTGCAGCCCCACCTGGATGATGCGCCAGAACGCTCCCCACACACCAGCTCTCAGTGGGGAGGAGAGCAGAGTAATGTAGCCAATTCATAGAGAGGGATTATTAGGAGGCCATGATTGGAAGGTAACGCCGGGGTTACACCCCTACTCTTTTCGAGAAACGCCCTGGGATTTTTAATGACCACAGAGAGTCAGGACCTCGGTTTTACGTCTCATCCGTAAGACGGCACCTGTTTACAGTATAGTGTCCCCGTCACTATACTGTGGCATTAGGACCCACATGGACCGCAGGGTGAGCGCCCCCTGCTGGCCCCACTAACACCTATTCCAGCAGCAACCTTAGTTTTTCCCAGGAGGTCTCCCATGCAGGTACTGACCAGGCTCACACCTGCTGAGCTCCAGTAGGGCTGCCAGCTGTGGGTTGCAGGGTGATATGGCTGCTGGCTAAGTATGATTCTCCCCACTGCGCGCGCCATCCACCAGGACTGACCGGATTGTCATCAAGCGAGTCAGGGCTGTTCTTCTCCTTGTGCTTTTGCTGCGTGTCTATTTCTGTGCTTTCCAAACCCGGCGGAGGATTAAAATAGCTGCTCTATAGAGAGAGTGAGGCACTTGAAATATGAGTCTGCGTTCTCACTTGAGACTGGCGCGGCGCTCTTGCTGTGGTGCCCTCTGGTGGCGAGAGGTGGTATTGCAGCCGGCTCTCTGCCCCTCTGCGAGCGGTGATTGCGCTGCGGGCTGCTGGGTTTTCCGGTTTCCAGTTTTTTCTTTTTTATCTCCCCCTCCCTGTCAGGAGCCTCCCGGGACGGAGCCGGGCTGTGCGGTCCCACACTCCCAGTCGGAGAACGGCGTCTCGGTCCGGCACATCGTCACGGAGCTGGAGTCCATCTCGCAGGCGAGCGGGGGGAAAGGGGAGCCCGCGGCGGCGGCGGCTGCTGCCCCGCCTCCCGGGGACCCCGAGC